TTGTTACAATCAATATTAATCTTATCAGAAATGATGTGATGTATTTGATCAGCTATTGATTTTTATATATTAATGGTCTATCAACAGTTGACATATGTGTATATTCAATCAGTTATTAACTGAACAATCAATGAAGTAGGTATTCAGGGATTTTGTTTCCTCCACTTTCATTGACTTTTATTTTATGTTGTCATGTTTTATTTGACAAAATTTCAATTAAACACAATGAAATCATTTAAATGAAATGAATTCGTTATACAAAGATTCCATTTAACCATTTCAACAATAACTAGATAGTTTGTAAATTTTAAAAAGGGAAGATTATAGAATCTTTACAAATCCACCATATAAATAGTATATCAAACATCAAATATAAATAAAAATAATATATTTGTAATATCCCAATGAGTAGAAAATTGGATTTTCTGACGTTTCGAGACTTAGTGTAAGTCACTTCTTCAGAGAATAAATAACCAAATTAAAATTAATCCAAGTTTAAATAGTACAACGGAACAATGCAAGAATAATATTGGATCAATCAAAAAAACAGGTCTGAACAAGTTGATGTCATGTCATTTCTGTCATTCTTAAACAATACACATATACATACACACAAATTTACATACATATCACTTATGAATCACCTTGACAGAAATGACATGACATCAACTTGTTCAGACCTGTTTTTTTGATTGATCCAATATTATTCTTGCATTGTTCCGTTGTACTATTTAAACTTGGATTAATTTTAATTTGGTTATTTATTCTCTGAAGAAGTGACTTACACTAAGTCACGAAACGTCAGAAAATCCAATTTTCTACTCATTGGGATATTACAAATATATTATTTTTATTTATAACAATCAACCCAATGCTCAATTTATTCGAAATTATCAAATCAAACCTTGGTAATGACACCTACAAACATTAAATATACTATTGTTATTACTTTGGGATAAGTCAATGCAAATATATAAGTTCGATACCCAAACTATTCATGTCCTATAAAGTTAAGAGAGGATGTAGTAATGATAAGGTATCAACATCACCAAATACCATCAATGGCTAAGTGGATCACTCCATACATAGTTGATTTCATAGGTTTCTGTCGGAGAAATCCACGTTTGAACTAGTTAACAACGAGTATACTGTTACTTTTTAAATTGTCCAGTCCTTCATTAAAAACTACGTGATTATTCCCGAATTGAACAGATCTCCGCAAATATGTAAACACAGATAAATGTTTATTGTAATTGTGAATTACAAGTATTTTTTCACCAATATGCTAGCTATATTTCGTCTCATTTCTTATTACATAGCTATATTATTATTATTATCATCTCCACAAAACCCATTCTGATAATTATTGTTATTATTATCATGCCATAAACTGAAACTGGTTAACGAAATTTTATCAAAGTTGTTTTTTAAGAGATGAGGTTGCTGACTCCATGCTCAGCCCCCATCCTTCCACCCCGGCTTCGGACCAGACGCTATAGGCCAAATACAATCAATCATCCTACTACGAGAGAGAATAAACCAACGTACAGCCGAAGAGGAGATAAGGATAAGATGTTGGAAGTGGATGAGAATAACCTTGCGGAAATCATCAAACTACATCACGAGGTAAGCGCTAACATGGAATCCTGAATGGAAAAGATAAAGAAGAAGACCAAATAACACACTGTGTCTGGAATTGGAAGCAGACATTAGAAGAATGAATAGAAACTGGAAACAGCTGAAAAGGATTGCCCAGAACAGATTTGAATGCAGAATGCTAGTGGCTGGTCTATGCCCCTCCTCGAGGGATCACATGCGTAAGTAAGTAAGTAAGTAATAAACTGGAACATAAACCTCATAGGATAATATTGATTTTTTGACATAATCATCCAAATTGATTGCACTATTTGGCCACCGTTTTTAACATTCAACATATATTCAGCTGGTTATATTATTGAAATACTTATACATTATGCACTTTAGAGAATTATTTATATTATGAAACAGTATAATTTGAAAATGGTCAATATTTTTTAATGCAAACTGATAGATAAATAAAATTCAGTTGATATCTACAAGTATGTTACTACAAAAACAATGGTGATTAGTAATGATCATGTTTATATTACAAATACACTGTTTAAAAGTAATATATGAACGTACGTTCGAATGATATTTGATAATAATTAAGTGGTGAAATAAATATAATCACATTGTATGATCCATATATTAACATTTCATTGTATAGGCGATATTTTGGTTAGATAAAGTGTTTGTTAATTGTTGTATGGAAAATATATGAAGGTATATATATCAAATAGAAAGTTTCTTAGCTCTAATCTGTAGTCGATAGGATCAAATAGTTATCTTGTACCGCATAATATTCAGAGATTAACCAAGTATTATTATCGAAATGGGGTTTGGGAAGCATAGAACAGCCGTCCCATCCTACGATGAAGCCCCTTAGTAATAGACATCCATGATCATGCATACGGAAATCAAACACAGGAAATTCGATTTCAGGCGTAAACGCTTGAACTCAAAACCATCGATTCCGGATCTAATGGTGTATATATTTAACTTCAATCAATTCGTGATATTGTGAGGCCACTTTCCATGTATGTAATTGCCTCACGCCCGATAGAGTCAAATTCCTAAAGCTTACAGCCTCACACTAGAAATCCTGGGATTGCATTTAGATGTTGGTCATTAGTCAGCACATGATTATTGTTAGCATAAAGTTTTGTGGTGATTGTAGAATTTTTCGGTTTAAATCAGTGGTCTAGTGATTAAGCGTTGATGCGCAAGACCGAAGGTTTTGAACACTTACCTGAATGCGGGTTCATGAATGCCCATAACTGAGAAGCCCGATACTAAGATGAAACAGCTGTCAAATCCCTTTTGGTTTTCAGGAGTAGTCCTTCTGAGACAAATTCATGGTTCAAAGTATGAAAACTGATATATGTTTGCAATGAAAATTACTTTCGAAATGTACCAAAATCTTCTTTAAAAAACCACTTGATAATCGTAGCAATTCCATTCTCACTACTGAATAGTATGAATATGGATTTTCGAAAGTCATAACATGAAGAAATAGGGTACAAGACAGTCAAGTACTGATAATACAATATAACCGTTGCATCATACCACGAGATTCACTTTGCAAAAGACTTTATACCATAAAAATCTTAATTTAGTTGATCAATTGCAACAATTTCTTTGAGAAAATGGAAGCCTGCATATCGTCAAAGTACACAGCTTAGAAATTTATGATGAAAATAAAAACAAGTTTCTACTGCTTCTTGACGTCCAATAAATTCACTCTCTGGTAACTTATAGACGTACAAAGTACCTTAAAAACTGTTTCGGTGGGTTTACAGTATTTATTATGTAGTTTGGAGTACTTAGTAATAACATAGATTAAATAAATTCAAGTCCGGAAATCGTACTTTTCGGAATATCATTGGAGAGCTGTCAACTGCTTTCAAACTAAAGGTCAAGAGAAATAATCAGTATCTGAAACACAATTCATATGAAAGAAGAATATTCCTTTCAGTGAATTCTTCATCAGCTTCTATAATTATCTCATATCTATATTAATAATCCATGAAAATTGACCAGATTGAAGGCAGGGTGCATCATTTGGAAATTGTAATATGTGAATCAAGGTTTGTTATTCGTCATATTATCAAATCAAATCAAATCGTTCATGTTGGAGCTGACTAATATGAAGTTGTTCACTTGAATCAGTTTATAGATGAAATGAAATTGTGGGATAAATAATGATCAGAATAAATATGGTCACCGTGGAGTGAGAGAGAGAGAATAATGGAATAAAAATAAAAAATTACGTAATATGTAGAATATTAGCAATGAGGTCAGATATAGTAGATAGGGGTGGATACTGAATGAAATTCTCAAAACGGTTAGAAAGTGTAATAATAATAATAATAATAATAATAATAATAATAATAATAATAATAATAATAATAATAATAATAGTAATAATGGTAAAGATAATAATATTATAAAATTGATTATTAAGTAGTTGACCTTGGATTTGGCCATGATAAAAGGAGCAGGTGAACATATTTCTTTTGGATTCCAAGCTCCGGCTTTTTGATTCGAATAGCAATTGTCTCAGCCGTCTGCAGGATTCTCAGTCTGACGGAATTAAGTAGACCGCTTTTAACACGATGTATTATTGCGAAAGATTGCTCCATGTTGGTTGTATGTCCCGTCTGAATTAGATGGTCTAACATGGAACTGTTAATCGTTTTAACTACATCTTTGCTTAACCACACTGGAAGGTGCTCACGAGTCTAATTTCATTTAATGTCTTCTATTTATTCCATAAACGTGCATCAACAACAACAAAAATACCTCTCAAACAATCTCTTTGTATTTTAGTAAAAATACAAACCATTTATAAGAATACTTGCTAATTCACATAATTGTAACAATTAAGCAGAACTTCATTTATGTTGAAATTTATGCCCTGATAAATAAGAATATTCATTATTCCTGAACTATGTACATCTAATTAAAGATACCATCTATTTTTGACTTTATCATTGTAGAGATTAGTATTTGGTGAGAACTAAATACTCCCAATACATCAGGTCATATAGAGATTTTAAAAAAGAATACAGTTTAAAAATAATCGCAATAATCGCAATTTCATGGATTGGTTGAGATTATACATTAATACCATTGGATGCCGGCTCAGCGATCTCAAGGTTAAGCGTTCGGGCGCGAGACCGGATGCCCTGGGTTTGAATCCCGCTAGTGAGATCGTGGATGTGCATCGCTATGGAATCCCACAGCCGTCTAGTGTTTTCAGGTTCTCAATCTGTTCATGATCTCAAATAAAAACTTAATAATCTTCACAACCCCATACTAATAATCACTAACTATATGTTTTCTATCACAGCCAAATATTGCACCGATAGTATGAAATAGTTTATATTATAAGTTAGTTAAACAAACAGGAAACATATAAAGAAACAATTCTGTATTTATCTTTTTAACATACAAACTTTTACAACGAAAAAACAAACAAACAAAACAAATCAACAATACACGATCACTTATAGAAGCAAATTGAATTTCATACATAATCATATGTTATCTATTAAAGAGTGTGTATTTTATTCCCTCGTAAAACATTAAGTGAATAATGTCTTATTGATAATTGCAGGTTAATAGAAGTTAAATAGAAAAGTTCAGTAAAATGACTGAACAACTGAATTCTAAGAAACATTTATACTACTTATAATCATTGGGTTTTTTTTTCTGTTTTTTTTTCTTCTAACCAGTCAACTTTTCAACAACATCCTTTATTGGATCTGTACATTTAAGCCAACTACATTTTCCAGAACAACATTCTTGACTAGTCCAACAGAAATATCCACCTGCAAGGCATAGATGACATTTACCAGTAAATAATGTATTTAGACCACAATATAATTGTTCACAACATGGAGAAAATACAGTTTTGGAACAATTTTGTCCTATTGTACGACATTCACCTGAAAAGATATTTTAAAAAAAATACAGACCATTTCACAATTAGGTATAAAATGAATGAAATTAGATACAAAAGTTAATGTGTTTGGTTTGAAAGAAGCATCATTTAACATACTTCAAGTGCTTTTATTATATGAATGTATAACTCTATACCTAAGTTTACTATAAAAATAACATTTCATAGTCTAGTCTAAAATATCTCAATTATATACCTACAGTTTGTTATACTTTGTTGTTTGAAGTTTTACCATGTATATAAAAGACTTAAACTGTAAATTCATTGAATAACACGAAATTTCATCCAAGACGTTTCCACACAAATGTGGACTATATTCAACACCTTCTCCATGATTAATCCTCTTTTACTTCTAATAATTTTCCGGATGACATTAACCAATGTCAAAAAAAATATTTCTTAATCATAGAAATCTATACAAAATTATACTTCAGTAAATATGAATGAACTAAGAGTAAAGAGATATAATCATTTCTTCTAACATACACGATAAGAAGTTTGTCAAAGAAGGTCTATCATTTAAGGATTAAGTATGGATCCCTTGGATAGAAGAACAAGAGTAATTCTACCGAAAATAATCCTTTAATTATAACACAATAGAACGAAACGGTCGTCCAGTGCTTCCACGTTTTCCATGGTGGTCTAGCCTCAATTGACTCATGATCTCAACTATTGAAATTACAAATGCAAATACAAACTGATGATGTGAAATTTGCATATTTTTTTTAAAAAAAAACCCAATGTAAACGATGTCTTATTAGTAAACAATATGATTACTGGTAACTAAGTAAGTTTTCATATTTTATCAGTAGTGTGAGAAAATTACCAGATTTTATACATTTAAAATTTGCCATGGGTTCATTCATGCCGTTATCATCTGTAATGTCATTTGAACAGTTAGTGGTTTGTACTTACATTGCTAATTAGGTATATAAATTTAGAGTAACATTACTTTCTTTTACACTTCTACTAATCATCTCACTGATAAATACAGTTAAATGCTGGAATCCGTAAACTAAACATTCAAGACTATCCTAATATTTATGATATTGTTCAAAAGCATACTCATTTCATACAATAACCCAATGAATAAAACAAATTTTAAAAGTATATTAACATTGCACTTGAGAAATTATCGTTTCACAACTAACATATAAAGAACAGTTTTGTAATAGTTGGTTCTTTTACACAATAAGGTGATAAACTTATCTATCTAATTATTTTGCGTACAAAGACCATAGTTTCACGTTGACCAGGAAAGTTAAAACAGTAATTTAAGTAATGGAAAGCACCTGTCAACTAGTTAATATTATTTAATCAATAATAATTGTCTAAGCTTAAATTAATTATAGTAAACGTCAAGCCACATAGATGAACATGCTGAAATTTTTTATTTGGATCTTGAATTTATCAATGCTAGACTACTAGTGAAAACTTGGAAATACTGGGCGTTCTAGTATAGGACTCTTCGGCATTGCGCATCCACGATTCTGCATACGAAATTCGAATCCAGGATGCAACTGAAAATTCGAAAAATTAGCTCGATGTTAATGCCACCTCTCGACCTATCGTTTCTTACTTTTAGTTATGTATGTTCCACCATATATGAGTAATACTCATTGAAAAATATCATAGAATGCATGCTTATAACTTTATTTTTTTTTAAATCTGGTCTAGAAAATAATCTATAAACGTTGTTATTTAAGCCATCCTATGATTGCAGTGTTCTATTGCACATTCCTAATGAGATTCAAGAAAGTACTATTACCAATAGTAATTGAAGCATTTGTAGAAGTAATAAATTACATACATGTTAACTGAGCGGATTATATTTCAGTCAGATATCAGAAGAGAACTTCTCAACAGAACTATTTGTCCATGTAAAATGTTCACATATGATGTCAGATGAAAAGATATTCTCTAAATCCGTCCAATTGCAAATATTAATCTGTGACGAATACTACATCTGAACAAATTCCCATCAAACCCCCTCATTAACACTAAAGTCATATGTTCGCTGGTACGTTGCATAGTGATTAATTTATGAAGTTGTACTGGGAGGTCGACGAACTGCGTTCGGACATATTAGCAATGAAATAGCGGTTACCTATGGGATTTATTGACCAAAACACTATATCGAACTTGACTGAGATGGGAAATGTGTATCGTTAAACGTCACTTGGTGGCTTATTAGTCAAGTACTCCACACGAGCCTTGTTGAGTTACTGAGTTCTATCCCTGGAATGGTTGGGAGTGGTCACTTTTGTAAATTCTTCATTCAACAGATATATTCATTGATATTTGGTTCTCAGTGGTCATTAGGTTAAATCAAAACCACTTACATATAAATGTATCTCCATTTTAAATAATCAAAAAGCATTTGATTGTATCAATATGACTTACCTGATACAACATTGAAATGACTAAACATGACAATAATTACCATTATTATTACATGATAAAACTGATTCATAATGATGGTTGAAAATGCAAACAGTTATGATATAATGGCAATAATAAGGAGAAATATAGTTGTTTAAATGTATATGTCATCCGCTACTAATGTCACATATGTATATATACAAAACCAATGTGTAAGGAAATAAAAAATCCAATGTGTCACATGCACAAAATTCATTCCATAATTATTAATGAATATTCAACAATTAAGTTACATTCAATGTAGGGATGACTGTCAAAATACAATTGTAAACAACATAATAAAGATTTTACCGTTTATATGTATATAATAATAATCAGTAATGCATTAAAAACTAAATGTTACTATGCTAAATAATAAATTTATCAAAGCTGAAGTTAGTTACCATAGAAAGAACGTTATCTAAGAATCAGTACTCCTTATAACTCTATACATATACTGTGGTATGGGTTACTTATATCCTCATAAGTAGTCAGGCATAGGATGTATTTCAGTAGAAGATCGATAAGGAAAGAATGGAAACGGAACACAATTAGGATGAAAATACATGAACAATGAAATCCGAGACAATGGACTAAAATTTGCAGAAAAAACAGTCAAGTTTGAGAATTGAATTGACATTTTCAAATTAACGAGTTCCTATACGGTTCTCAAATTTTAGTGAGATGCTCTGTAATTGCGTGAGCAATCCATTCGATTGTCCCCAATTGTGTTCTAATTTACTACAGAATGAATATAGATTTAAATATCGGTTACATCACAAGCTGCTACCAGTGATCTAACGACAATCGGTTCATGATCTCAATCAAAAATTAGTCAATTAATTAATGCAGTCACCACGATAAACATGATGAACTTAATAATCTTTTGTGATCATTATCACAAAATTGTGGATAATTTCTTAAAGGATTTATGTATAATTATTAGTATTTAATATGAATGAGATATATGTATAGTAGGTAGTAGGTCTAAAGATGGGTTCATTGATTCATCTTCATTACAAGTCATGAATTAAACCAATTAGCCATTTCTCAATGTTTACATTTAATTTAGTAATTGAATTCATGAGTCAATTGAAGCTAGACCACCATGGAAAACTTAGAAGCATTAGACGGCCGTTTCATCCTAGTATGAGACTCCTCAGCAGTGTACATCCACGATCATTTAACATTATTTAAGTGTTATATCAACGAAGTAAAAATTAAAAAAATCACGTATGTTTAAACAAATTTTCAATAAAGTTTATTAAACATTAAATGATTTGGATTCCTTCTCACCTTAAAAACTAAACGATATATTCCATAAGGATAGAATACATGTCCGTGAGTTTTGCTTTCAATCTTTAATCTGTATGCGATATCAAGTATTTTCTGCTATTTTTTCATATATTTACTTGGTAATTATTACATATTAGGGCACAATTTTAATAAGGATTATAAATGTTCTTTTTCATACAACAAGTTGGAATGTACAATAGTGGCTTGTTCGTAAAAGGCATATGTAGATAGCTCTAAATGATTTTAATGATATCCTGAATGGATTTAAAACCAAGAATTTGAAGTTCTCTAATTTAGAAATAAACAAAATAATGTTTATTAGATGGTGGTTGATGGTAGTCAACAGGAAATCGCGGACCTAGATTTCATGTTACTTGATACTAATCAGTATGGTGTACCTATAATCTTGAGGTAACTGATGCTCCCTGATGGATTCGATCCCTTGTTACTCAGCTTCACAATCAGAGACATTGCCGCTGAGCTATCCAGGCCGCGACTGACCTCCTGTAGGACTGATATGTATTTACAATTGATTGATCACTGGGTGGTGATCAATGTCATGTATGTCAGATCGTTCTTAGTGCAGGTCGAATCCTATCTACCAAGTTACAAAGTGGTCACATGCCAGTGATCACCACACAGTGATCAATAAATTGTAAAATAATGTTTATAATTTAATACTGTTTTAATCTAAGTTTATTTCACTAGAATAACCTTATTCTTTGAATTTTTAAGATAAACTTGTCGGCTTATCACTGATATTCATAATTTATAGATTTATTTTATGTTAATATTGATATAACAATTAAAGTTGTTCCACATACTGGTTTAGTTTAATGTATGATTGTATCCTAAAATATAGTTTACATTAAACAATGATTTGGTTCTCTGTTTCCTGAAACTAAATAACCCGGTTATCTGCCTTCTAGTGATGAATTACATTTATTCAGTCACCGTGATCTTAGCCAGACCACAGCTAAAATCGTGTAGACACGGGATCACCGTTTCAACCAAATATGGAAGTTCAGCCATGTCGGGTGTGAGACAGTTATACACTATAGGTAGAGGAAGATGGTCGTACACCTTGCTCACGACTGTCAAATTACACGAAACCTAAGTCCAGGGTTTCCTGTCAACTATCTTAAACCACCATCTTACATGGTCGCACAGTATCATGAGTTGATTGAAGTTATATATCTGCGCCACTGAATTCTAACTCAGTGGTCTGCAGTTCAAGCGTTTGGACTAGAGACCGAAGTTCCCATGTTCGATTTCCGGCTGTGGGGTCCTGGGTATACACTACTAAGCAGACCTAAATGTTGGTTCAGTGCCCTCTAGTCTCCAATGGTAATCTATCTAAGATCAGTTAGTGATTTAAAGTATGAATGTTCTACATTCTCCACATATCCGAATGTACTAATAACATATGTTGACATACTATCAATGTAGTGGTAATGTAACATAGAATGACAATATTTTCACATAAATTATAACAACACATACTTCATTCATTTGTTGAACAGTTTACATTGTCTATCACATTTTCATGTGATAAACCAACTTTGGGAAAAAAATGTTTACATATTTTGTATAAAATAGTTTATGTGTACAATATTCGTTCAATCAACAAAATAAATTCACTAAATATCAAATATAAAGTGATATATGATTGTTCCGTGACGTGAAAATAATTCAACAACTAATGATCATGTAAACATATAACGTAGAAGACTGAAACCATTGATTGCTCTCTGTCAACTAGATGGTTAACTTATTTATAGTAAAGTTTATGTAAAACACAGTTTTATGATATCTTTCTATTTGTTAAATTAACAAGTAGATTAAGTGTTCGCGAGGGAGACTGAAGTCCCTGGGTTCGAATCTCGCGAGCGGGATAGTGGATACACATTGCTGAGGAGTCCCACAATATGACGAAACGGCCGTCCAGTGCTTTTAGGTTTTCAATGATGGTCTGACATCAATCGGTTCAAGATCTCAAACAATAAATTGACAACAGACTAAAGGAAGCTATGTTGGATAAATAATTGGCATTTTAAAGCGTTGAACAGTTTAATACGTGTTCGATTTCCCTGACAATACAAAGAAATTACTGATTAGACCCGAGACTGATAAAGCATGTCAAATCTATCTGTCAGTTAGTTGCTGACATCAGACCGTGAGACTGAAAAATACTTAGTAAATTTGAGTGATGACAAATTTCAGTCGATTAACCCCAAGTGAAAATCAGAAATTCACATGTTACAATGTGATACAGAACCTCACATAATTAAGATTATCGAGCACAAAATTATTCATATGAATTTGTATTAAGGTAGATATTGAAAAAGTCAAACTATCAAGATGATAAGGATTTAGTAAAGAAAGTAAATTAAGTAAAGGTAGTAATGTGGCTCAATGGTTTAAATTTCAAAACGCTCACCGCTAACTGGATCTGTACAGTTGCCATGTTTACTGAAATTGAAGAGTCGAATAATCAAACGAAACTACTGTGTATTGGTCTCCGGTTTTTATTAGTTTTTTAGTTGATATTACTCTGTAAGAAAAACCAATTTTGTTTATAAATCTATCACAGCATGTCTATATCAGACTGAGTGAATAGTTTTACCAACTGTCGAAAATTTCGAAATCCTTAAATCTGTTTATGACAATTCACCTTTCGCTTGTACACTCCGTTTATAATGTAAACAACTCTATACACTAAATTATGTCATTTTATCATTGTCCGTTTTGCATTAATCCGAACTAATTCATGCTTATAAGCAAAGATAAATAGTGGCTAGCAGTGGAATCCAGGACGCGCGTTTCGTCCTATTTGGGACCCATCATTCATAAGGCTATATTGAGGTAATCCGCGCAGGATGCATATATGCCAACATGAGCCTGATCAGTTGCAGTCCTAAATAACAATGGGAAGATACAAGTAAAACTACACCAAGTGAATATAATTCATGCTTAGTTTATTAAAAAAATCAAATCTAATCTTGCTTATAATAGTAATTCATGAAACATGTTTTGTGAAAGACTAAGAAAAGTTTTCCAGATAGATGTGTTCTAAACAAATCGAAAGTTAGCTGTGTAAGTTTACCATTCATTGAGAATACTCACTTTAATTGCTAATATTTAATGGAATTATGTGTTTTAGACTGACTGATTCATAACCACAGTGGCTAAATCATTTTCTGACATTTTCTATTGCTTATACTTTAGCTTACTAGCGAATATCGAACTTAATAATACGTTTTTTAATTAGAACTGAAAACGATTTCAGTAAGTATCTCAATACATTTGTTACCGATGATTACTTATAATAAAATAATGATATGTATTTGTCATTTAAACAGACTGTGGTCTTGTAACTGATATCAAGAAATGACCTTTTTGGTCACTAGACAGTTGTTCTATCTGAGTACATGGCTCCTCAGTAGTATGAATTTGTGACTCCACAGGGGATTGAATCCAGGGTTTCCAAATTTCTCAGTGAGCACTTGACTTCTGAATGATTAAACCTATATCCAATAGTTTACATATCTAACTTGAGTCGATTCATGATATTATGCAACCAACCTCAAATATTATTGATGGGTAATGTATAAGTGTACTTCTCTTTAATATTCCATAGTTTTTATGGTATTCCAACTGAGATCAATATAATATGAAGAGAACAGCTTACAGAATACTATTGATCATTGTAATCATTCAAATAATTTCATTGGTTCAAATAGTGAATTTGTATACTATACATTTCAAAACTAACTTATTAGACAATAATCCAAATATTTATCAATATTTATTAACACTGTCCAATTATTCTTTGTTATAATCGCATTGACCATGTAATATATATATATATATATATATATATATATATATATATATATATATATATATATATATATATATATATATATATATAAGGACAGTATTAGTAAACACTCGTAGATCATTTACCCTCACCATCATTATGTTGTATTCACAGATAGCATTATCAATTAGCCTTGTAATAATCTGGAACATTCTATCAACAAAAGGTAAGATTTGTTTTTTGCATGATACCTGAAATATTGACACTTTAACTGTTTAAACTGATAAGAAAGTGTTATCAAATCTCTTGATAACACCATTAATTACAAATGATAAATATTTCAATATGGTGAAAATTTCCACTTTAATATTCAGTGAAAACAAAATAGATACAGCTCTATTTGTTCTTTATAGACATTTGTTGCTAAAATAGATTCTAAAACATAACAGGCTTACTTGGATAATGAAGATCAAACAATTAATGAGATTCTTATATTTCTGAATTATATAAAAACACTGATTGATTAATAGATCTTAGATACCATAGTTGTTGACTTTGTAAACATTTCTTGTATATAGTTCATTATCTCTTAATCATACATAACTTCAGTTAGTTAAAATCTGTTTGTAATAATTAAACTGTTCATCAACTAATGGTAGGTTTTAAACTGTTACTTCATTATCAACCAGAGTGAACTAATTTTTACTGAATGACCGATACTTATGTAATGGAAAGGATTTGTGGAAAAGCAGTAGATAACAGTATCCAGTATCGAAGTATGGAAAGAATTATTACTGAAAACATCTGCTTGAAATAAAACCTATAAACGAGAAATGATAAGCTATGAAATTATTTTTACTCGAATGTCTGAACTAGTTGCCACCTATGTCTGGTTACCTTTATTCAGTGCAAGTTGTTAGATGAAAAAGAGTTACGTTGAATCGAGTGTTATCAGACAAGAATATTCGGTTGATAAATGAAGTCACTAAATGTGCCTATAATCCATCTGAGAAGCTGTTTGCTTTTCGCGCCAATGTCGATAATTTAGTTAAAATTATTAATTATGTGTACTCCAAATGACATAAATTTAAAATTAATCGTTGTTTTACAAATACATCTATCTTGTTCGAATCCTAACGAATGATAAGTATTTGATTGACTTTTCTTTTTTACTGTTGAACCTTATACAAATGATTCGGTTTAAAGCAATGTACTATGCTATTAACTGATCATTAATGATTGAAGCAAGAGTTGAAATTAAATTGCCAATAAGTAGAGTACTAAAACTCATACTCATCACTGGGAATTTCAAGGTTATGGGATGACTATTTCGAACTTATATCCATGGAGATAAAGAGAAGCCTCTAAAAACATATGATCCTGAACAATCTATATCTGGTCTTGTACTAATGAGCACTAAATATTTCAACTACTTGAAATTAACTAGCGTTACAATTATGAAAATCGTCATCGAACCTCCTTAAGATCTGGAACTTCGCTTATCTTTTCCTAGGTAAATAAGGAAAATCTTATATACTATATATATGAGATACATAACCAGTGAAACTAGGTTAAATAGTAGCAATTTAGAACCCATTGTTTGAGTACAGATTCAATTTAAAATCTATCAAGTTTCAAAAACATGTGCTTTCATAGAAATAGTAAAATTAAACTGTTTAATTCCAGGTGATTAGTAGTAGTTGATAGAAATTTAGGTATATGTTCATACTGTTGTGCCCACTTGTTTCAAAGATACATCTTCATCGACTCCTGTTCGATATATCATACATCCTCAAGGAGCAGTTTTTGTTGCTGGTGTCCTCCTGGAAGCTCTGAACGAATTAACCCGCGCATTTTCATCGCATTTTTATCCTTCAGAAGTATGTCAGTCAGAGTCTGCTGGGACTTCTCATAGCACTGATATTGCTTTCACATCATTCTGGGATATATTCAATCGCTTCTCCCAATCTAACATAACTCCATTGTCTGTTGGATCTACCACACGACCTGTACTTAGACGAGCAAGAATTTCATCAAGAAAAAGACCTGTTTCAATTTCTGACAAAGAACAAGCAATTGATTCAACTCAAGAGTCTTCGTCATCTGTGGGATTTGAATCCGAATCACTTTGTGTCTCAATCACAGATGTTAATATTAAGTTATATGTATTGTAAATGATCTGTCATAGTACTAAGTTATTTGAATTAATCTATCCTTTTGTAGTAACCAATTTCATGTTATGTTCTCCTAAGTGATCAATGAACTCTATCAATCAGTTAGTGAGCTAACTGAATCAATACTTAACTAAAACCGAAATAAGAACAAAATTAATTATAAAAGTAGCGATGTTTCTCATTAATATTCATGCAGAAACCCTACCTAATTAAATTGACAATATGTTACAAAAGCATATCATTTAGTCTCTAGCTTAAAATGAAACATCTATCACTGACCTATTATCTTCATTTTGGTAAAAATAGACCTCACACTTCATCTTAAATGAAGTAATATGAATATACTTTAGTGGGGCCATTTATTTTGTCATCATTTAGATTGTTTGTTGACGGGATCTCCACTTTAGTGGCCCGAGATCTGACTCCAAGTAGATCGTATGAATGATTGTTATTGACTGATTCCCATCGAATGTATGTGCCGCCTATCCTCGTATATAATCACTGACTTAATTCGCGTTAGTCAGTAACGTTAGTCAAATCGTTAGTCAAATAACGAAAATGGAGTTTTGAATACCTATATTTTGTATATGAAGCAAATAGAATAGAGAGAAACAAAATGACGCGCAATGGTGATGCCTCGTTAGTCAACTTCCGTTTAACCAAACGTTAACCAATAATTATAGTTATACAAAAATAAGTAACAGAAATGTGATAAGTAATGGGATGGGAAGTGTAAACACACACACATACGCTCATATAAAAACAGTCAAGATTTATAGGAGAATAATTAACAAGGTCAAAATATGACTCAAGTAGAAGTAGTAGGTTGGCCTATCCGAAATCTAGAATAAGGTATATGGACTTAACACAATAACCGACACTACAATACACAATTTGGTAAGTTGAACGAGATCTTGTACACAAAGTTTTTTTATTATTTTATCAACCACAAACTTTAATTTCCCTATCCTTTTTGTAGGTGATTGTATTCCATTGAATGGAGTTTGTACAAAAACTATATTTGCTCCATGCTGTAATAATACAGTATGTAAATTGTCTGGGCCATTCTCTGGTAAATGTGTGGAATGCCTTAAACCATTTTCATGGTGTTGGAATGGTGATGAATGTTGTTCAAAACAATGCAGTTGGTTCAGATGTTTGAGTACTGTTGAACAATAAACAAAACATAATTTATTATCTCTTGTCATTTTGTTTATTGTAATGATGATGACTTACTATCTAATGATTTATTTTATTTAATAAAATTTATACTTTAACATTAATGACTATCCTTTTTTGATTGATGTAATAAGTAATATTCTCCATAAACGTTAATGATTAGGTCATCCAATTTGTTAATATTCTTCATATTATAAAAGATAGAAAAATGACATTCTTAATGCTTAACTTAGATATCATTCATCGGAAGGCAATCGACATAACGACTTAAATATAAGTTCCGTTCTAGTTTGTACATACCAAAAATAATGGTGTACAAACTTGAGGAAATTGGTTCTCTCGGTGGAATTTTGACAAGCTGGTACAAATATCAATAGAAAGCCATATGATACATATAAAATGTCACTTTGTTACAGAAAAACATTTTTAACACTTTTACATGATAAATCCCATCCTACTGAACTGAATTTTGTGAATGTTACCTCCTTCAACTCAACCACGAATAACGAGTTGTGATTAAAGGATATCAGATGTCACCATCTATAACAATCGACAATTACGAATATAAATTCAATATGAGTGAATGTGCAAATATTAAGTAGAGAAAACCCACATGATACATTCGACGAGTTCAGTATTAAGTTAAACGGGTAGCATATCGGCATATCTTCACAATTTATTCTGTATACCATGCTCATAAATGTTAGACTATTAAATTACTCAATGGGATCTGACTAAAAGTATTAGATTTCATCCGTTAGGAGAAATTTCTGACTTTTTTAAAACATCTACGTTGAGAACCAAAATGGCAATAAAATTTCACCTAAGTAATGACTTACTTCCGTGATCCTAACTACTCACTCCACCTTGGCTCCTGACCTAAAGTCAGGCTTGTAATGAGCAAAGCAACATGAATTTGTTAGAATAGTTTTTAACATCTATCCTAAAAGGCCTCATAGATCGTCTAAAGAGCCATAGAACTAAAAGCCTTTAATGTAACACTTGGAAATAAAGTTGTATTTCTAACTAAATCAAAATATAGCAACAGTAGTGTTTCCCTCAAAAACTAGCATTTCATAGTTTCTTTTATTTTCTAAGGCAAAATAATGGATCATAAACAATCAACTTTAAAATCAGCACGCTTTTGCTGTATGACATATCAGTGATGATTCAAAAGTCATCTTTATCACTAGAAACCGAAAGGACTCCTATCTATCCAGTCAAATGGAAATTATCTACAAAATAAATGATGATGAACTGTACATATCTAGGCTTTTATCTAATCTTCAACTTCCTTGTCAACACAAGTGAATCCGATATTTTAACTCTTCCATTCTTCAAATAATTACTATTATCACATGTTCTTGTCTAAAAATGTTTCACGCTACATAATGAGATTGTCTTAATATTATAGAAATACCACATTAAGCAATTATAAAAAAGCACCTTTAAAACTCTAATTTCTAGGTTCTTTATCATAATTCCACTCCATCGCGAAGCATCTTTATTATAAGAAAAAGGATTATAATTCCAGATAATATCCTATGTCATATGAACTGAATGTGACATTCCATCTTGACGCTAAGGATTAGATGATATGATATTAGTTATTATGACGTAGTTAGATATTATGATAATTCACAGAGCATGGTATCGCCACCGACTGACACTAAGTTATGCTCATACGGAAATCACAGTTCGTATATGGCGAATGCCTACTGTCGCTAAAACTAAGTCTAACAGTGCTTTATGAGTCAGTGAAGCCACCTCATGTAGAAAACGTGGTTAAAACGAACAGCCTTAGTATCGCTTGATACTTTGTACTACTTTCGTTATAACTGATAACTATTAAAACTTGTTTAACCAAGTTTGTAGCTACAAGTTATGAATATTCATAAACTGACATTCATTTTTCACAAAGAAGTTGAATGTTTAGCATTATATTATTTGAACTATTATCATTTTGTTAAAGTTTAATCATGTTACTTGTATTTATTAACCTATTTTAAGTTCGAATTTCATTAGTTCGTTAAGTGTTTTAGTTAGTATATGGGTTCACAACTGAATAACTCCAATCATTCAACTGTATGAGAACTAAGTTACGAAACTTCTTTAGGAAGCACTCAACTATGTTGTAGTTGTAGTTGTAGTTGTACACAACTGGCTTTTATTACTTTCGTAACTATACAGTGGTCGACAAAAATTTTTTTACATCAAATGTCTTACATTTTTTTACAAACCAAGCGAAAATGATTGTAACAGGGAATGTATTTTTTTCATCTTATTGAACTGTCCCTTATTTTAAATAAAATTACTTTCATTTCTTTAGACTATACTAGAAGGACTTTTCTCATTCAAATAGAGCGAAATGTGCCCACATATTGTAATGTTGTTAAGTTACTGAATAAAATAGAACAGTATATCACTACCATTGTGTTTGTAGAAATAGAAAGTTTTCAATATGGTACGTTACATGTCTATATAAATTATATAAAAGTGTACCACATTTCCTTAACACATATAGGACAATATAATTCCAACTTATCAATACATATACCCAAGTCATTGAAAACATTTTCACATTGTATAAGAAATAAATTATAACAAAAAAATATATATTATGATCAACCACAGTTGTTTCTTAATTTTATTAACCTTAACATGGTATTGGAAATTAGATGCTTTTACAGGTAAGTGATGCTTATATTCTTGTTGTTCCATGACTAATTATTATCGTTCGATGCAATATCCAAGCTTAGGTGAATGATTTTGATGAAGTTTTGCTCTCTGAGCTGGATGGTTTGGTCATGGAACTTTTATCGTCTTCTATCTGAAGTTTGTGTTGATGATGTCGTTCAGAAGAACGCGGCCCTTTATTTGCCAATCCTTGCCTTTACTTCTGTATCAGATCCTCCACGTTCATCGATGATGCTTCCTTAGTACGTGAAAGACTCCACGTCTTCCGAAGTTCCTCCATAATGTGTGGTTGGGTTCGCGTTCTCTGTGTTGTATTCGACGATTTTGATATTCCTTCGTGTATGTTGAGATGTACCGCTGCAGAGGCTTCTGCTACACTGGCTGCTTCTACCTGCGTTTTTTAAATGTATGGGATAGGAGATCTAGGTTATCTGTGAAGTCCAAATCATTTTGTTGCATCCGAACTGTCTACTGTATTCCATGCTTCCTCTGAGATGTGAAAGTCTTCTTAATCCAATCGATCACCAGAAGAAGGATACCTTCAAGTTAGACGACCTAAAAAATAAGCGCACAAACACCAAATTTATTTAAGTATTGACACATATTGGTCGCTCATTAGTAATGAATGTCTTCTAGTTTTGTCTGCTACTGATGTTCAAAATCAATCGAGTTAGGTTGTTACATGACCACCAGCCTTACTGACTTGAAATTTCAAAACACCATATTTTACTTTATATGATTTTAAGGAATCTTTATTAAGCCAAATATTTTGTATTAGTTGGTAGTCTAAAAGGTGTAATTGCAATCATGAGGGAATTTTCGCTTTCATAAGATTTAAATTCATATCTTTAAACTTAGTGTTGTTGTTACTAAGATAATTCAGTTACATGTGATCTGTTAATATAAGTAGTTTATTAAAAGTGTTCGATCACTAAACAATAGTTTTCCAACCATTTATTATACTTCAACTGTATTCCTCATTACAGTAATCTTAGTGACATCTAATATACATGATAAATACTGTTATTCATTTGAAACTCGAAGGAGATAATTAATCATTTATGAACATTTTTACGCGTTCTAACTGTATAACTAAGTTGAGATGGTGGAGAAGATTTGTAGCTCAGGTGGATGATATTGGTGGAGTTTTGTTCTCTGAGCTGGATGTGTAACTAAGTTCTTTGAATCATAAATTTTGTAAATAAAACGAATATCGACTAAGTGTTTATTTTCAATGTACTTCAATATCCAAATACTTCATTAAACTAACTTCTAGTGTAATACTCAGGATGGTTATGGTTACACATGCTGGTATTTTAGTTCATGTGAAAATGTTTGTCAAGTCTAATAAATGAGATATAATGAAAACTACAAAACAAATATAGAAAAGTACATCAGTAATACAAAGCTACTACAATTTAACCTCAACCGATTTGTGTTACAATGTGTGTTGACATGTAATCTCATTTTAGTCTATATAGAATAATGATGCTATAAGCTAGTGAATTACTAGCTATGCTTGACTCCCTTTTATTAGTTTGACAAGAAAACGAGTCAGAAAGTAAGCTTATTAATGTCAAAATAACAAGGATGTACTATTTAGTTTTACTATTGGTTTTCTCAATACAACAATAAACAATTCATGAATTTTTATGCTCAACCTCAAAAATTATTACGATTAACTATTAACTTTCCTATTAACTAAAGGTTTATTAACTGTCTGTATTAATCTTAAAGAGGATTGTATCAAAGGAATAAATTATGTAATTTATTTCTTAACATCATCATTTGTAACCCAGAACCTATCGGTCCTCGTGTGCGAACGCTTTACCTCTAAACCACTGGGGTCCTGGATTCGAATCCCTCGGGGTGAGATCATGAATGAGCCTTGCTGAGGAGTAACATACTGAGACAAAAGAGACGTCTAATGCTTCTAGGTATTCTATGGTGATCTAGCTTCAAATGACTCATGAATTCAACTATTAAATTACTAAAATCTCCACAAAACCCCTCTCTGATAATCATCATTTACATTAAAACTCTGTTTTATTAAACTATCGAATTTCATAAAAAAAGGACAATAAAGTATCACCATAATTTTCAACTTCAAAATAGACGTAAGACTAATAAAATACTTCACTTTATAAAACTTTAAGATGAACAACCTAACCATCAGTTCTCTTAGATTTTGTATTTTATCCTTGTTGTGAATTAATATTGAATAAATAAGTATCTAATGGCATATCATTTCACCAAAACATTAACCGAACGAATTACTTCAACATTTAAAGCATTGAAAACTGAGTTAGAACTTTATTATAAATATAAACATGAATGTAGGAACATTTATCTGACAAGTCTGATAAGAGAGAATCACATTGACCATGTCCAGAACCAACTTATTTTTCCCATTATCACAAAATGTATTTAAATCAAATGTTTCATAGTTTAGATTCGTTATACTTCTTATACTGTTATGAATGGTAAAATTTCCAAGTATATTTACACAGCCATAACTAATCCCTATTGCATTGATGTGAAGTATATCAGAATAATAAACATTAGTATTATAACACTTATTACCTGGTATAACTATACAGTTGTTTATACCTAGTTTGAAACTTTTTTAAAAGTATACACAAAACAGAACCATAGAAATTCAATTTCTGGTTCTAAATGTAATAGTTCATATATTTAATCTTATTCAACTTGTTATGTAAAAGTGCATTATGTCATTAGTAAGTTACAACCTTACTGTGGAGTTTTTGATGAATCATAAACTAGATGTGAAACTATTGATGAATGCCTCAATGACTTACACAACATCTACTACATCTAATGTTAATCTATAATTAACATTAATTTTAAAATGAGAAAAAAAACCTTCGAAGAACTCACAATTTAATAAATTTATCAGGCAAATTATAATTAAACATTGATATTGATTATTTACTTTCTCGTTTGTTTTTTGTTTCCTTCATAGGTCGTTGTAAATCTGAAGGACAAAATTGTACTAAAACAATATTTTCACCATGTTGTGCAAATTCTACATGTCAACTACATGGATTATTTAAAGGAGTTTGTGTAAAATGTTTACCTGAAAAACATTTATGCTTATCCAGTAATGAATGTTGTACAAAATTATGTAGTTGGTTTCGATGTATAATGACAAATTAGTTATAAACTAATTCATTCATTTACAATTGATGAATATTCTTATACAAGTAAATTGACTAGTAATATACAAAATATAACTAAGTTTAAATGTTCTTAAAATTTGTTTAACTACAATGAGTTCATTTATGGTTACATGTTACAATGTAATCGTCGTATTTGACACATAAAATACACACTGTAATAATATATCAAAAAATGTTTAAGTAAAAATGCATAACTACTGAGAGATCCAAGAATGGGACTGAATCTTAAGTTGTCTTCCTTTTTCAAGATTATATCTAAAGCATTAGGTTCAGATATATAATAGTAAAACATTGTGAATGTGAACTTGACCAATATAACTCAGTAAGTATCAGAATGGGTTTTGTGGAGAGTTTAAGAAATTTCACAGGTTAAAGTCATGAGTCAGTTGAAGCTAGACCACCATTGAAAACCTGGAAGCACTGGACGGCCGTTTCGTTCTGGTATGGGACTCCTCAACAGTGCGCATCCACTGAAGACAATGGTGTACGGTGGCGCAACTTCGTGGATTGGTTAACTCAGTAAGTACTAGAAAATAGATAAATATGACAATGCTTATTATTCAGTGACTAATCAGTATGAATATCAACCGATAATTTTGTATATGCTTAACTTTCAATGTAATATTGACTGTTATTTTAAAAACAGCCTTGACATCTGAAATATTAAACTAATTCCAGATGAGAGAAAACTTTTCCTGACATTAGTTAAAACTCTTTTGGCTTGTCTGTCACCAGTCTTGTGATAAATGATTCATAATCAACAGTAAACGATCAAATTTCTATTACTCGTCGATAATCATACACTTAACAATATAACTGCCTTTAAGTAAAATGTAACATGGAACAAATGTTTAGGTTGGTTAGTCTTTGAACTCTTACTTCTATGAATTGGAAAGATCATAGTTAAATTAATTGAAAGCCGATCACAGATCTCAGTAAGTAAATTCCATTATAAACCTTATTCAAATAAACTTATTAATTGTTAAAAGTACATCTCTAGATATCTGTTCATTTCAAAAGGTTTACCATGAACAGAATATCTTGAACAAGCTTCGAATTTACTTACTTTTAAGGTGAAATAGATTTTTCTCAATCTAACATCATGATCATTCTATCTTCGTATATTGTCTTTTATTAATATTGATGAGCATGACAAAATGTGTATGTCTTAAAAGCATGAAACTTTACACGATTTCCTATCTATAACCTGTTTCTTTTAGTTTCATATTTTCTATACTAATTCAACATATATAAGCGAACAATAATGTTCTCAATCAGATCGTTATCGGGCTTTAACGGAAAATACATGAATATTTACATGAGATTACTGAACCAATAAAGGCAATTTATGAACCAAATATCACAATGAAATACACGGCATAACCAAACATAATAATCAGTCTCGGGTTGGGGAGATTGAGTTTGATTGTTATCATGGACCGATCAATGTTGGACCACCATTGAAAAATGGGAAGCATTAGATAGTCATTTTAACTTATTATGGGACTCTTCAGTAGTGCACATCTACGATCTTGCACACGAGACTTGAACCTTAGATCTTTTGTCTCTCGAGAACGCTTAACCTTCAGACCACTAATCCAACATCCATTAGTGTTAATTTCCAACTCCTATCACTACATGACATTTCACGACTATCTTTTATTGTCTTCAGTGAGTAGAAAGTTGGTTCATGATTTCAATGAAATAATTAGGTGATAAATAATAACAATTAAAAGAGATGAAAAACGATAAACAAATACAGGATGTGAAAAAATTTGTGAAATCATTTAATAAGTCATATCGGGGCAAGGAAGGGACACGGGTTTTACGAATTTCTTCGGAACAAATGAACGAAGGTTATAGATTTGGATACTTCTAGCTTCTGATACACTAAGGAGACGGGACCAAACCCTATTTGGAAATCACAACAGTATACGACAAATCACTGGGAATGATTTGGTTTTATCTACCATATGACCACTGTCAACCAGTGGCGCCAATTATCGTTCATTACATTCTAATATTACGCTCGATATAGTACATTTAAAAGCTTTATCGCGTGGTACTAAATTTTGTGCCTATGGAAATAGAATAAAATAAACTACATACTGACATGAAATTTCAGAATTTATTTTCACAAGCAACAGATTTGGTACCGACCTCACTCTAAGAACTTACAAGATTTAAGACCACATTAGTTAGCATCTCTAAACAACATCAAAACAGTCAACATACCATGAAACTTCCACTTAGAAAAAATAAAACCAATCATTTATAATTCTTCATATCATAAAGCTGAGGAGTGATTAGTTCGAAACCTGGATCCCCTACACAGATTAGCCATTAACTGAAGAATTTAAAGCGTTTTTGATTCTACTTCCAAAGTGAAACATAATAATTTAAGTGAGAAACGAATGGTTTCTTTGGATGGTGCTTCCTAATTTACTATTAACTGAGACAATTGATTATGTGTCAGCAACTAATTAAAAGCAGATCAGTACTGGAATTTCCGAGTTTAGTCTCAAATGATTATGTTTGAATTGTAAACTAAACGTTCATTTTGTCTTTAATACTACTTATTATCGACAAATAAATGGAATACATATGGGTTCACCTCTAGCTCCTACCCTTGCTGATTTTTTCTCCTACAAGTAGAAGACGAACTTCTCAATGAGGCTATTAATCTTTGATCAAAATATGGGGAAAATGAAGCTCTTAGAGAAATTTAACAATACACATCCAGCAATCAGATTTACATGTGAAGAGAAACTTTGTAACAAATTACATTTCCTTAACGTTTTGTCAAAAGGAAAAGAAAAAGATTCTGTCAGTAGAAGTGTGCAGAGTAAAAGTTCTTCGACAAGCCAGTTCACATCTGGTACAAGAGAAACCTATTTAGATGATGTCTTGCAAGTAGAGCTAGAAAGATATGCTCAGATAACGCCAAAAACAAGGAACAAGAGCTCAGTTATAATATTTTGATTGAAATTGGGTTATACACAAGGTTTTCCGAAGAAACATACACATTGAATAGGAAATTAGTGGTATTGACTGACTAAAGTAATAAAGAAGACTTTTTAATGTAGCCAACCTATGTCCATCATTTTATAGCTGATCTACGGTGGTTATTTACCATATTCTTTCTTCGTTTGTCTTTCCTCACCTCTTTTTCAAATATAAACTTCAATGTATAAATTATCTGAACACTAATTACTTACTTACTTGCTTAGGCTTGTTACCCCTTCTGGAGATTAGTTTAATATTTTCATATATACTTGTATATATCTATACATATTACAATAATGCCTAATCACTATCTAACCGAAAACAATATTGTTTACTTATAAATTTTGATTTAATTTACATTATTTATTGTCTGATAAGTGATACTATTCAAATAGTTTCTATGCAAATAACAATTGTTATTCCATAAGCAAGTTAATCCAACAGTCGATTCTATCAATAATAATAATAATAATAATAATAATAATAATAATAATAATAATAATAATAATAATAATAATAATAATAATAATAATAATAGTAATAATAATAATAATACATCAGATATGAAGTACGGAATGCATCAGCGACAAATTGACATTCCTCAAGAAAACCTTGACGAAAAATGATTACCCAGAACGTTTCATAGAAAAGAATATGAATAGTAGTTACGACAAGAAATCTAGTTGTTCCGTCCCGAAGAAAAAGCTTTATATAAGTCTGGAATTTAAAGGTGATAGAACCTCAGACGTAATCAAAAATCGTCTAACAACAACGATTAGAAGAATATTTAACGCGGTTAAATCACTAATAACCTTCACTAGTATGGACTTATTTTCTGTATCCATAATAGATAGGCTTCCACGTCTGGTCGCCTCTATGTGCAACTACCAGTTCACCTGCTCTTGTGGAGCAAGGTACATTGGCCGTAGCCAGCGCTCGCTTTCAACTCGGAAACGGGAACATATCCTGGCTTGGTTCTATAACGGTGAAAGGAAAACAGTTAGGAGTTCTATACTTGAACGCCTAATCGACTGTAACGATTCTACATATCCACAATTTGATTTTAAGGTTGTTTATATGATTCGTTCAAATCTACCCAGATTTCTTCGTATCCAACTCATAAAAATAGCCGAAGCCCTTACCATTCAGGAGCTTAAACCAGAACTATGCGTACAAAAGAAGTACGTCTTATCGTTATCGTTACCTTAATCTTAATTATTTTGATTATCTTATTATTACTATTACTGCATTCCCCCCTTTACTTATGTCTTATATTCTCATTGTTTTATTCGGAAATACTCATCATATCACCCTATTCATTATTTACACCTCTTTCACCTTTAATTATTATGACAAAATCATTTTAATCATCTTATTATATTCACCAAATCTATTGTTATTTTTATTATTCATATTACGTAATCTAGTATTATAACCCTTTCATTAACTGTGTTCACATTTCCTCACGGAATTAGTACTTTTACAAAAACAAAATTTTCATATATATACGATTGCACAGCTTGATAATAAATTGGTTGAAATGAGATGCGTTCGCTGAACTTCGTGTTTCAATTTTAATGTTTAAATGGGAATTATCTGTCAAAGGTGACAATTGACAAGTGTTGATATTCTTGTCTACCTTAATCAAATTAAATTAAACTACTTACATTTTAGTTAGTAGTACAAATATTAGTTGTTCAGATTTAAATTGGTAACACGGAAAAAAATTGTCGAATAATCATTAGGAAAACCTTTTTCAATATCAAGTACAAATCTATGGAACTAAAACTGTATACAGATAACAGATTACATATATATATACATACGTATACGTTGTTTGACAGTATTTGTCATACGAATTAGTTCATATAAGGTTTCATTTTAACCATTTAATTAAAAACAAGCTATATATAGAGTTGATATCCAGTGATCACGAAGTTTTAGACAATATATAATTAACTGTTCAATAAATTTAGATATCTCGGTCTTAAACGGAGTTTGTCACTGTTTAGTAGACTAGATGATAGTGTTTCTAATTACATCACTGGTTGAAATGAATTTGATTCTCAT